GGCATTTTTTCGCGAATATTTTCTCATAATTTACGTTCAATACATTCTCTAGCAATTTTTCATTTAATATATGGTAATTTCTCGTCCTAATCTCAAAATGAGAGTATTAGATATGGCCGTCGCGGCTTCAAAACATCCCAAATAACTTTAGAATAATAAAAAAGAGGTTTTGCAAAATATATCGCGAGGACAGGGCCCTAAAAACTATTAAAACCAAAATCCGACAAACAAATTATTAAAAAAAATATCGCGAAATCCCATTTTTCAGACTTTGAAAACTTGATGGTCCATTAATATTGATCTTGGAACCAATATATGCGATGAAAATAGCAATAAGAAGGTCAGATTCTAAGATATGAACGGTTTTGTGGCAATAGAAATACAGCAAATTTCGAAAATAAATAGATCGACCAGTTTATTCACTGATGCATTTTATTCGCAACTGATGGTGTTAAACGGATGTAAAATATTGACTGCGTATTCGTCACCAGCTACCACAGTTTTTTAAAACGCAATAGTATTTGACGAAGAATGATGTTTTCTCCCAACTTCATGTACTGTTTGTAGTTTCTGTTGTTTTAGAACTGTTAATTTCTTTGAATCTGACCACCTTATTGCTATTTTAATCGCATATATTGGTTCCAAGATCAATATTAATGAACCATAAGGTTTTCAAAGTCAGAAAAATGGGGTTTCGCGATATTTTTTTTAATAATTTGTTTGTCGGATTTTGGTTTTAATAGTTTTTAAGATCCTGTCCTCGCGATTTATTTTGCAAAACCTCCTTTTTATTATTCTAAAGTTATTTGGCATGTTTTGAAGCCGCGACGACCATATCTAATACTCTCATTTTGAGATTAGGACGAGAAATTACCATATATTAAATGAAAAATTGCTGGAGAATGTATTGAACGTAAGTGTGAGAAAATATTCGCGAAAAAATGCCGTGGTTTATTGGAATCGTCGCCAAATCGCTTTTAGTATGTGGTTACCCGCAATGGTAACTATAAAAAGACAAAGCGTGTGTTATATAATGATTTTTTCAAAAATGATAATAAAAAGCAAAATACTTTTTTGTGATAATCATTTTTGTGTTGGTATAGATTTTGGCCGATATCTTCGTGAACAATAGGTCTTTCGCAGTGATTCTTGCAGAAATAAGATCTAAATATGTCCACAAACATATCCCATCATACATAGTTCATTTTACATCTATAGTATGCTGGCTTTAGGCGTATATATTATAATTTTGTCAAATTTATATTGAGGCAAAATACTTATTACACTCACTGTATGTAGAAGAGAACTTTACCTCCTTCAGGGCCAACCCCGAACACTTCAAAAACTGTATATAACATATGATGCCTAACATTTTATTTATTTTTTTTAATTTAATTTGTTACCTTTCTTTTTCAACTGATCGGCCCAACTGAAGCCCTATCCTTATAAAGAACTGAAATTAAAAAAAAATATATATTTAAAAAAATGTATAATAATGAATATTTTTAATGATATTTGTACAAGGAATTAATTTTTATACACTCCACAAAACAAAACCTTGAAATATTCACAAGTGAACCCCATAAAGTATATTCTTAATCAGAAAAAAAAAATTCTATGTCGACTTGGTCATTTCCTGTCTGTTGAAATCACGATAGAGCTTATAATATTTGCACATATATTGCGGCAACTCCTTCGATGTTTTGGCATAACTACCATATAATGGTCGTTTTCAGACAAATGGGTTATAATTTTATATTTTGGATTATCATTGATAAGACAACCTCCCTATAAAAAATTACATATGACGGTACCCCCATTATTCGGTATTTTAGAATTTTTGTGCACGTTTTTCAACCGGATTTTACATTTTGAGTTAATGGATGCTGGTATATATTGGCATAGTCCTCTTATAAAGGTCCTGCCTAATTTTGGACATTTTGAAGACTTTAGCCGCATTTCCTCATCAAAGTGGGTGTAATTTAACGTGTCGGGATTTTGGCGGCTGGCATCTATATAAACAGAAATTTATAAATATAGTCTTAATTTTGACATATGTCTACGCTGGGAAATTATGAATATAGGTTCCATATTAAGGTCCTGCTTTGTTATTTTATGGTTTTAGTTGCCTTCTCCCACCGAAGTCTCTGTAAATTGGCATTCCGGGTTGTTGGAGGTTAAAAAATCGTTGCAGAAAGATGTCTATATAGGTCCATGTTTCTGCACAGTTTTCACATCAATATCCTGCCAAATTTTTGGTATTTTTGACCGCAAATTCCCAGGTTTTGAGGCTAAATTCCCATGTTTTGAGGCTGAAATTGTGAATATAGGTCCCAAATTAAGGTCCTGCTTTGTTATTTTAGGGTTTTATTTGCCTTCTCTCACCGAAGTCTTTGTAAATTGTCATTCCGGGTTGTTGGAGGTTAAAAATATCGTTGCAGAAAGATGTCTACAGTTTTCACATCAATATCCTGCCAATATCACATCAATATCCTGTTGGTATTTTTGACCGCAATTCCGATCGATTGGAGGTTAAAAAAATCGTTGAAAGATGTCTATATGGGTCCATGTTTCGACACGGTCTTCACATCAATATCCTGCCAAATTTTCGGTAATTTTGACCAAAATTTCTGATCGATGTGTGCTTCTAATTTGGCAATCTATATTCTTGGAGGGTGAAAAACATATTTGCAGAACATGTTTAATATAGGTTGGTGTTTTGCCCCATAGGCCCCATATAAAGGTTCAGTCCCGTTATTTATATGTTTTTCTCTGCCTTATCCCACCGAAGTGGTTGAAATTTAATATTCTTGGTTCTGGGGACTGAATATTATTTCTGCAGAAAATTTTTAATTGCACCACATTTTAGACAAACATCCACATAAAGACCCCGCGCCATTTTTGGTATATTGAAGGTTTAAGCCACATATTCCCACGGATGTGATTTACAGAAAATATTCTCTATGGATCCATGTAAAGGTCCCACCCCCATTTTTGACATTTTGAAAGTTTTAGCAACATGTTTGACATACCAGATTTTAAGTGATTGAAATACTTCCCCTAGAAATTATTTTTTATTATTCATGTGTTTTAATAGACCCCTAGACAATTGTCCGCTTAATTTTCGATCAAAAAATGTTAGACATGTTAGAGAAACAAAATATGGAGGTTATGGTACCAATTTCCTACATTTGCAACTCTTAAAGAAATTTTCAATATTTAAATCCCAAATGAAGCGGATGGGGTGTCAGTTTTTACAAACTTTGGCACAACTTTTCACCATCGGGCACACATTTTCGCCTATTCGGTCCACTCATAGATAGGATATTTGGATAAGGAAGTGAATATAGTACCAGATTTGATCCAAATTTTTGACATTATATTACACTATACAATAAAGTCGAGCTCATGGTGGGGAGGTGGAAAGTTCCTTTTGGGGTTGTACGCCCTTGACGATTATAGATTAGCCATAGGTCAAGTTTTTGAGGCTGGTAACTCTAAAGTTTATGAAGCAAAGGCTTTATATCTTTGTTTCCGACTATTGCAGATTATTTTTGAGATGGCATGTCTTCAGTCAAATCGAATGAGGAATATTTTTGTATGATTTTAGATAGCGTCTCCAAAGGCATGAAATCAGTATTTGAAATGTGTAGCGTTCTTTTCTCCTTTTACCTGATGCTTGTTCGGAAAACGTATATCTACGAACATTAATAAATTTCGTATAAATTGCAGATTTTCAAAAAGAGTCGGATTCGTGTGAGAGGTATCATTTCTTTATAGACCCTATATAAAATCTTATGAGCGACATTTTTGTAGAAAATGTAGTCGAAAAAGGCGGATAAGGAATTGAGATAGAAGGAGGATATGTTTTACAAAAATATTCCTCATTCAAATTGACTGAAAACATGTCATCTCAAAAACAACCTGCAATAGCCACAACCAAAGATATGAAGCATTTTCTTCATGTACTTTTGGGTTACTAGCAAAATATTCATCACGCCATAACTTAGAAACTTGACCTACGACAAAATTTGTATTTCTGCATTATTGATATAAACAACAATGGCGGAATTTTTCATCCCCACATCGATTTTGTTTTTAATATGGGCGTTTACATAGTCTTCCAAATTTAAAGATTCTGAAGCCATTATTTCAAAATCTTGTTTTTTTATTAGTACTTCCAATTTATGCATAATCCCTAAAAATTCTACTAACACACCGAAAAATACTACGCCTTCCCCCTACTAATGGCTACCTTGTCCCGCAATTGAAAATAATAAAAATAACAACAAACTATAGAAATAAAATGAAGTTTTTTTCTAACTACCAATGTTGAATTGAAATTTTCTTCTCAAATTTTCACACAAACACACAAAACGAACATACAAAATAAAACCAATAAATTGTTGCCCTGGGGGTGATGTGTTTTTTACCAAACAGTTGTTCATGTGTCACCAAATGGCCATGAAGAAGGAGGCCAATGAAAAACAAAAAGCTGATGAAGTACGAAGACAACAAATTGGTGTAAGTACCGGAAACAGAAAAACAACGATTCCAAAACTCCCTCAGCCCCAAACTAAAAAAAATGGTGCAAGTGGATGGGAGGAAGGGGAAAGTTGTTTTGTTATCAATATTGTGTGGATGTGGGTGTGCACAAAAGCTAACCCCCTAAAAAGCAAAACAAACATAAAAACAACAAATAAAATTCCATAATAACATTGATTTGTAAAGGAGCATGTTCTAAATATGATTAAAAATTTCTGTATAATGTATGACAAACTAAAACAAATCTACGCCAATTTGCAACTATTCGCCGCTATGCCAATGACAAAATAACATAAAGCTAAATTAAATTTATTTATTGTAAGCCAGCCAGGCAGCCTCTGTTAAGCTTACTTTATGCCTTAATTGTACTTTGTATATAATGAATCGCTTAATTTGCTTCCTTCCCAAAATTTCCCTAACATTTTCGAGTTTTTTTTCGTTTCATTTAATTTTAGGTTGGTGTACCAATTATCTGGGTTTTGGGCGGTCCCGGCTGCGGCAAGGGTACCCAGTGTGCCAAAATTGTTGAAAAATACGGTTTCGTCCATTTGTCCAGTGGTGATTTGCTGCGTGAAGAGGTGGGTATCTCGTCCTTTGATTAATTTATTAATTGAATTGCCTGATAATTATTGTGTTTTTGTGTGTTGTGGTTAACAGGTTGCCTCCGGTTCACCCAAGGGCCAGGAATTGGCTGCCATCATGAAAGAAGGCAAACTTGTTTCCAACGATGACGTTTTGGGTCTCTTGGAAAAAGCTATTCGTGAAAGACTTAATGGTGCCAAGGGTTTCCTTATCGATGGGTAAGTGTTGTAATGAATTCTGTGATTGAAATACATTTCTGAATTTTTTTTTAATGTAAAGATGTAACGTGTAGTTAGCCTGTTATGGATGCCACTTCGAAAAAGAAATAACAATTAAAATTTTAAAAATGTCACGAATGAAGTAAACTTGGCACATTGTAATATTTATAATAAGCCTAGATAAAAGTCAAATATGGGGCCATCGATCGGGTCACTTTTTCTCGCATCTCCAACACAAGACCAACTTATTTAACCCTTATAAATTAGGAAAAAATTCGAAACCTTCAACATTAAGGCTTATAACATTGAACAACAAGATTTGGGGGATGGAAAGTTCTTTATGGGGAAAATAGCCCTTGGCGAGTATATTAATTTCTGGTATATTTTTCTGATAACTTTAAATTATGCAAGAAGTTGAGATGACATGTCTTCAGTCAAATCGAATGAGATTTTTTATTTGTAAAACATATCCTTCTTCCATCTCAATTGCTTGTGTGTGTTTTTCGCCCTTACTTTCTTGAACTGTAAAACTTCAAAACACGCATAGTAATATTTATAACATCGATAAATCTCGAACATTTCTCGCTTCACCCACACCCAATTGGACCAAACAAAGACTAATTACACAGTACAACAAACTTTGGCGGATTGGAATGTTTCTTATAAGGATGAAATACCTTGACATGAATATTAAGAACCAAGAAGGACAAATAAGTCATTGGTCAAGTTTTGGATGATTTTGTTGCTTACTTACTTACTTAGCTGGTTTGTTACAGAACGGTTGTTCCATAAACCGAGCTTAAACAAGATTTCCAAGCGCGTCGGTCTTGTGCGCAAGTCCCCCAATTTGGAAGACCACGTTCCAAGATGTTGTTTTCTAGATGGTCTTTCCATCTAATTCGTGGCCTTCCCCTTCTACGAGAACCATCAGTAGGCTCATTTTTATATGCCTTTTGAGCTGGGGCATTTTCAGTCATCCGCACAACATGGCCTAGCCACCGTAGTCGCTGCAGCTCAATACGATTGACTGTGTCGATGTCCGCTTATAAATTGTAAAGCTCGTGGTTCATTCGACGCCGATATTCACCGTCGACGCAGATCGGTCCGTAGATCTTTCGGAGAATGTTTCTCTCAAACACCCCAAGAGCTGCCTCATCTGCTTGCGCAAGTACCCATGCTTCTGATCCATATAATAGCACGGGTAGTATCAGCGTCTTGTAAAGTGTGAGTTTGGTCTGGCGGGAGGTGGCCTTGTTTCTAAACTGCTTACTTAGACCATAGTAGCATATGTTGGCCATCACAATCCTTCTCCGAATTTCAAAACTGATGACATTCGTTTTATTTATGGCGGTACCAAGGTATATAAAGCCTTTACTACCTCGAAGCTGTAGTTCTTAAGTTCCACAGTTGGTCCGAGTCTACTGGACGTCTTGCGCGTTGATACCATCAGCTTGGTCTTCTCGCCGTTTACTGCCGGACTCACTTTGGCAGACTTCTTTTCAATTTGTTCAAAAGTGCCTGTTACCGCTCGCAATGTTCGACCCATTATATCGATGTCATCGGCGTAGGCGAGTAACATGTGTTTTTTGGTGTACAGAGTGCCATTTCTGTTCACCTTTGCGTCTCGTATGACCTTTCCCAGTAGGATGTTAAAAAGATCACACGACAAACTGGCACCTTGTCTGAATCCTCGTTCGGTATTGAAGGGCTCCGATAGGTCCTTTCCTACTTTAACTGCAGACCTTGTGCCACTTAAAGTTATCCTGCATAGCCGTATTAATTTTGCAGGGATGCCGAACGCAGACATGGTTTTAAACACCTCTGAACAGATAGGGCTGTCGAATGCGGTTTTATAGTCGACAAATATGTGGTATGTGTCGATGTGTTTTTTGTGGGTCTTTTCCAGGATTTGGCGCAGAGTGAAAATCTGGTCAATGGTGGATTTGCCAGGTCTGAAGCCGCATTAGTATGGTCCGATGATGTCATTGACCATTGGTTTCAATCGTTCACACAGCACACTGGATAGCACTTTATATGCGATGGGAAGGAGACTTATTCCTCTATAGTGGGCACATATCGTCTTGTCTCCTTTTTTGTGCACGGGACACAGGATGCTGAGGTTCCAATCAATGGGCATGCATTCATCTAGCCATATTGTGCTAATCAGCTGGTGTATGCTTCTGACTAGCATCTGGCCACCAGTCTTCAATAGTTCGACTGGTAACCCATCGGCTCCTGCTGCTTTGTTGTTCTTGAGCCGATTAATTGCTTTTATGACCTCATCTTGGCTAGGTGGTATACATTCTATACCATTTTGTTGCTTATAACTCACGAAGAAAATGCTTTCACGAAGAAAATGCTTTGTATCGTTGTTTGTGGCTATTACAGTTTGTTTTTGAAGTGACATTTCTTCAGTCAAATCGAATGAGGAATTTTTTTTATAAAATATATTCTCCTTCTATCGCAAGAGGCACATTTGGCCCTTATTTTCTTGAATCGTAGACAAAAAGATGTCTAGATGTGATTTTTTGACCTCCAAATATTCTACAAAAATAAGGCTCATAAGATTTTAAATAAGTTTGTCATAGATATGAAATGTATTGATCAGAAAACCTTATATCTATGAACACTTCGAATAAATTTAAAATTATAAAGGACAGTCGGGTTCTTCGGAAAAGTTTACCACACATTTTTGTAGATTTTTTTTAAAGGAAAAAATCTTCTTCAAGAAAATGAAGAAATATTCGAAGGAGGATATGTCCGGATAATATAGGATCCATTTTCAGGATAGACTTTTTACTAAAATATCAACAATTTTCTGTAAGGATTTACAAACCAATTTTGTTATTGAATTTTTGATTAAATAATTGTTTTAGATATTTTCAAAATTGAAACCTGCTTATTTAAAATCAATCAGGCATCAAGCTGTGCTAATATTTAATTAAAAACAATACTCATAAACAAATAAAAATGTAATATAATTTACAACTGTTATTTACCGATTAAATGAACTTCATTAGAAACGGTTTCTTTATCTTCATTATTATCCTTTGTAATTAACGATGTCAATAACATTTACAAATAAAATATAATAGGTGTCAATGAATTTCACGTGTGTAATTTGCTACATTTTTCGAGAATTCAAATTGCATTGTTTATCTCATTTAAATATTCGATGTCAATCAAATACGTGTATATTTCTGATCCATTTTTTTGATATTAATTCATTAAACATTTTTATGACTGCCAATCAATGTGAAAATCAACAATTTTGAATCTGAATTCTAATTAAGAAAGATTTAATTGAACAGCATTTTATATGAGGCATTGACATTGATCGACCACATCCCAAAAATGTATAAACTCAACGACTAACAACAGATTATTTAACTAGTATATCAAATCGAACGGTACTATTTTATGAGGTTATTCCAGTGTGTGGGTCTGTATGGAATTGGCATTAAGCAGTCATAGATTGTGGTATAGTCGAAATTGTTTATAGCGAAATATAGGTTATATCGAAGGCATCCAAATGATTCGAATAATTTTATTATCGCCTATATTTTGATATCGCCTATTGCGGCTAATTTCGCCGTTCCCTTGGTCATAAGCGATTTATTACATTCGTTTTTGGGAAGGTTTCTAATAGAATTTAGCATCTGACGATGTCGATATGCCCGAATGTGTTTTTCAAAATGCAGTAGATTCGTATAATTGCTTTCCGTAGTCTATTTAGAGATGCCTAAAGCCAATAAATAATATGTTTTGCGTATTAAAAAGAAAAACAGTAGCGGATCATTGAAGCGAAATTGGTCCCCTTAAATAGGCAATTTCTTACTATTAAAATCGATTATTGGGCAACTTCATTCCCATTAATGTTTTACGGTTTTGCAATCAGGGTACCGAGTGTATTATAACGTAAACTTGCTGATACCCAAACGCCTCAGCAAGTATTTCAGGCTTAGCTGCCAAATTCATGCCGTGGTAAGAGGCTATGTCATGGCCGATCCCAAAGCCTCACTTAACCAACATCACTGCCACATTACTAACAAAACTCCTCTTTTAACAAAAAAAAAAAGACCTTTGGACTTGGCTTGAAGTTTCGATGAAATCGATGAATCGAGAGTTATTGTGCGCACCAGCTAGCCAGCCGGACAGACGGACATTAAATCGACTCTAAATTGTCTGAAAGGTATTTGGTCCATTGGTCCAAATTTTACCGTACCAAAGTGTATACACCATCCATAAAGCTGAGGGTATAACAATTTATGACAACTCCCTTCCGACTGATGTTGGTGTGGCTGCCTTGATATCCTCAGTATCGAACTTTCAACAAGTCTTTTGTCTCCCAACCACATTTCACTTAAAAAGAGTAACGCGAGTCTGGGGAGATATACTGACTTTCTGCCCAATTTAAGTGAGGAAAAATATTCTCTCAGCGTCATCTTAGAGAGTATCCCTATCTCTGGGATGATTCGCCCTTGACGAACTAGGATGATACCATGGATCAATATTGGTCCACTTTTTATGATAGTCGCCATATCACGGTACTCCACAATATTCGGCATTTTGAAGCTTTTGGGAGATTCCTCATTGATCAGAAAATCTATCCAAAATTAACAACGTTTTAGAGTACCTTCCATATAACGGTGCCCCACAATATTTTGAACCTAATCACCTCCAAATGATATTTCGGGTTCTTACTGGGTAGAAAATCTCACTACTAAAATCATCGTTATTGGTCCCATTTTTAAGTTAGGGAATTTTGGATACTTTTGTCGAATGTTTTTCTACAAATTTGCTGTATTTTGGATTCTCATTGCGAATAAAATCTCCCCTTATCAAAATATATTAATATTGGCCCCAGGTTCTGATTAGCCTCTATATGATGGTACCCCTTATTATACGGTAGTTTGGGTTTGTTTTTCAATAGAATTTATTCAAGTCTGATTTTTCAGATTCTCATGAGATGAAAAATATATAACAAGCAATTATCTATATCAGTTCACGTTTTTCTATAGCACTCATATAAGGGTTTTGCGGCATTAGGAACATTTTCCCACTGATGTGGCTGTAAATCTGTATAAAGGCTGACATACATATGTCATTTTAGTGGCTGTCGTTGGCCTTCCTGGATATTGGAGAGTACAACTAATTTTTGGTAACACTTATTTTTGATAAAACTAATTTTGTTGACCGAGTTTTTTTCATCGAAGTAGCTAAAACTTGGCATATCGGATTCCTGTTAAATAAAAAAACCATCCTTCTAGATATTATTCAATATAGGTTAATGCTTTTAAATAGTCCCCATACACCTGTCACGTTTAATTTTCGGTATGTTGTAGTTCCTACCTCAGTTTTCCAACCTGAATGTTTGTAATTTGGAAGTCTACTTATCCAAAGTAATATGGAAATTAAATAGTCGATTCCATTCAACTTTTATCTATTTCCATTTTTATCTATTTCCAAATTTATAAAAACAACAAACTGTGATTCAGCCTGACTATTTTGCAAAAACAAAATAAATACAAATAAATTCATTTATTTCTTCTTCTTTTTTGCAGTTATCCTCGTGAAAAGGATCAAGGTGTCGCCTTTGAAAAGAAAATTGCTCCTGCCGATTTAGTTCTATTCTTCGACTGTGCTGATGTAAGTAGATTCAAACTAAAAAAAACATTCGCCCTAGTAAATTAATATATTTTTATTTTTTCTCGAATTCCAGGCCACTTTGGTTAGCCGTGTCATGGCTCGTGCTGCTGCATCCACTGAAAAGCGTGCTGATGATAATGAGGAAACAATTAAGACCCGCATTGCCACATTCAGATCAAACACCAATGCCATTCTCTCACAATATACCGATAAGACCTTAACCGTAAGATTCGAGAAAATGTTTCTGCCTTAGAAATTCTTGGTTAAAATTTAATTGTTCTATTTTTTTGCAGATCAATGCTGAACGCGGTGTTGATGAAATCTTCAATGATGTCACCTGTGCCTTGGATTGTTTAATACAAAAGAAAGCCACTGTTGTGGCCAGTGCATAAAGACCCGACCACTATCCCCCACATAGCTCTACTACTTTATGTTTGTTGTTTCTTCTTAAATGTTAAAACAAATTTTTGTTTAATATTTTTTGTTTTTTTTAATATTGAAAAATTATGCACATGCTGCTGCACAAATTATTAATACCGGCTGAGAATGGTTAGGTGGTAGGAAAAACCAGTTGGGGAAAAATGTTATGCTAGACACCAAAGATAATTAATGTGAGAACATTAAAAATACAAAGCTTTAAATTAAACTGATTTAGAACAATAATGCAACTAATACTACCACAAAAATTAATATATTAATATATGTATGTATTGTACAACTTATACTCACCCTACCTCCCTAAAAAGAAAAAAAAAAACAAAACAACAAATATTGCCCATCCCCCCATTCAGTGTCAAAGAGACAATTATTTTCAATATTTTCAATAAAAAAAAAATTAAAATTTATCATTAAATGAATGTTAGTTCAATTTGTATTAAATTTAAGTCACTTTTAATTGAAAATAAATGAAAAATTAAGAAAAAAAGAAAGAAAACAACATCACTCTCACACAGTGAAATATAATTTGAAAATAATTTTCTGGCGTTCCTTTATAAATTTATATGTTTGTCTATGTGTTTGAAAATGTTTTATATTGGTGTCATGTGGTATCTCAACTCAGCAGCTAGCCAACTCGTGGGAGTTTGTGACGTAGTTAGCCATCTTCATTCGGCTGAACACGCTGTTTAGCCCATTCTAATTATAATAAATAATTTCCGTATCCCATTAGCTGTGTGATATCCAACTGGGTAATATCTACGTAAATTTTATATCTTGTTGTTAGGTTTCATCATCTGAGAAGCAGACAATATTTTTTCAGATTGTATTTTGAACTTTGAAATATTTATTTTATTATTTATGTATTTTTTTTTGTTTTTAATATCATTATTATTTGAGCCAAAACGTGGTAGCAATTATGAAAATTTTATTTTATTTCAAGTTAATTATGAGTCGATTTAAGGGGACCGCCTCATTTATGGTTTCGAAATTTCGACGTTGGGGGTATATATACAATTTGTCATTCCGTTTGCAACACCTTGAAATATTCAACTAAGACCATATAAAATATATATATTTTTGATCAGATTAATCCATGTCTGTCCGTTGAAATTATGATAGAGCTCGCAATATTTAAGAGGAAGCCATGGAATTTTGCACATACACTGTTATTACCCTAGAATGTTTGATATTGTTTGAATGGAGTATATCGGTCCACTTTTTAGGGTAGCCCACTTCCAATATTCCCATTCCCCAAATATTCGCTCTTTTAAAGATTTTGGGCACTCATTCAACAGAATTAGTTCTATTTTAATATTAGGGATTGTTATTGAGCAAAAAACTCTCTCCATGTTTCGGAGTAGCTTTTTATGATACAGTAGATATCGGATATAAGAACATCTCATATAAGAAAACATCGCATATAAAAAAGATTATTAAAAGCACCGACTTTATACTTTCTTATATCCGATATTCCATATAAGAAAAAAACGCATATAAGAAAGAAATCTCCGACTTTTTTGAGTTTCTTATATCCGATATCTACTGTACCTCCCATACATCCCAAATTTCGTTATTTTGGCAAGGTCTATAAATAAGGTCACCCAGGTAGTAATCGATATCGGAAAACAGTTGTTTTTTCTCAAGCTAATGTCAAAATTTTCGAATTTTTTACGTTTTCATAATCCAGCTGGTCTCCCTGGGTGACTTTATTTATAGGCCATGTATTTTGGGAAGTGTGGGCACGTGTAGGGATAAGTAAATCGACTTTCGACCAATCGACTTTTTATATTGAAAAGTCTAAAGCGGTGTACACACAGGCACTTTTGAGTGACAGCTTTTTTTATCGAGTACTGACTGTCCAACATCCATGAATATTTTTGTGGTTGCCTGATGAATGACAAGCATGAGAGGCCAGACTATCAAACAAGCAAAATTTGGGCAAGAGTGGCACTGAAAAGTGCTAGTGTGTACACCGCTTAAAAGTCGAAGTCGACTTTTGACCTTTGAGAAAATCGCAAAGTCGACTTTTAAAGATCGACTTTCGATTTTCTTTAAAAATTCTTGGTTATTGGTTTGGTTGGTTATTATTACAATTCTTATAAAAAAATTAAGTTTTTAGTCGATATTGCTTTAGTTGGTAAAATTCGAAAATCGATTTTGAACAGGTTTGATAAAATCGAAAGATCGAAAAGTCGATTTTTTAGTCAAAGGCAAAAATCGAAAAGTCTAAAAATCGACTTTTTGGTCAGAGGCAAAAGTCTAAAAGTCGACTTTTCGCTCGACTTCGTATCCCTAGGCATGTATATGAAATAAATTGGCTGTAATTTTAATAGTCATTGAGTTAAAAATCTCCTTAACAAAAATTATCAATATTGGGCCAAGTTTTCAATTAGTCCCATATATTGGTGCGCCAATATATTTAATGTTGAACATTATTTTTTGGGAGCATGAACACTCTACTCTACTATTTGTCAGTATTAAGTTTGAAAATAGAGTCTTTTCTAAAGCTTTCATATATGATCCACCACCGACTTTGGACCTTTCTTTACTGCTATGATATCAAATATCATAACAAATCTTCATTGTAGAATTTTAAAATTGATAACTCATTCAAAATAAACAAACAAAAACACCTATTCCAAGAATACAATCCAATTTTGTTTCGGTAAACAAAATGCTAATCGAAATTCCCGCATTCCCAAACCATATCGGTGACGTATGCATAAATATGCGCATTATATCAAGACGACATTTTACCGCTACTAAGAGATACGATATATCTTCTTAATTGCCACAGAGCAAAATTAAATAACTAGAAAAAAAATAACATCAATTAGTAATAAATTGCATTAAAATACTGATCATTAATTAGGTGAAAATAAATTTGTCAATGACTTGCTTTATTAATCCATATAACTAAGGGATACCGTTGAATTTCATAAACAAAATATTTTATATATGTATGAACATTTATATAAAATGTTTCGAAAACATTTTATATTAAAAAAGACGTAGTTGCATATTTAGCTTTTTTTTTGTATTTCGATATGGTAAACAATACAATTCATTTATGAAAACGCATAAAATTACTAATATCACATACACACATTGATATTAGGATTTGTATAAAAAAATTAGTTTCATTTCGTCAATTATTGAAATTGAATATATTTAGATTTATTATGGACCTCAGTTCCCCGTGAATTTTCTCCTTTTCCCGGTTCGACTTATTCTGAACAACATTTCACATTTGTTTTTCCAATTGAAGGGAGAAAACGATATATTATTTGTATAGAGCATTTTGGAGGCAGAATTTTACTCAAATTTGCATCAACCGGAATAAATTACGAATTTAAAGGTGAAAGTACACAAGGATTTAGTTTTCTTCGGTTACACTTCTTGGGAACATAGGTATTTTACAAAACATCTTCCTAATTTATCAGTCCTTGCGTTAGCTTCGTTATCATTGTTTTTATTCCATTTAAATAAATGATTTTACTGCCATCTACCGTTGCCTAGAAGCAACTCTACCACATCCTTGAATTTTGTGCGATGTCATCGTTTTCGATTTGGATGTAATAGTCTAAACATGTTAAATAAATATATTACATTGTATTTGATTCGTTACGACATGTCCCTATTTTATTTATAAGGCGACTAGCATATGCCCACTACTTCGTTAGCGAATGTGGCTAATATTTAAACATGTATTAACATATTCTATTTTTACAGAAAACAGCATATGCAAGAAAAACTAAACAACAACACATTAATATTGACCATAAATTGAATTTGAGTACCATTTAGTACCAAATTTCATGATTCGAGCTCAAAAGGTTCACCCATATCCAAATTTTTCAATTTAACACTCATTATTTCCATAAGTACCCTCCTCAACCATCCAACAAAACTTCCTGCATACCCCGATCCTACACCCCCACAATGATTCCAAATTCAAATTTCTGGATTCCAACTCTACCCGTTCACTCACAAATCAAATTGTACAAAATTTAGTACATAGTAGTACCAATTCCCAAACCTTCCTACATACCCCAATCCTACACCTCCACAGTGGTCCTAACTCATAATTCCAGGATTTAAACTCTATCGCTTGACACACAATTTAAATTGTACCATATTTAGTACACTTAGTACATATTTCGAAAACTTCCTACATATCCTAACCCTACACCTCCACAGTGACCTTAATCAAAATTTCAGGATTCCAACTCTATCGGTACACCCACAATTCAAATTGTAACAAATTTAGTACACAATAGTACCAATTTCCAAAACTACATACCCCAATGATCCTAAAATAAAGTTTTTGGATTCCAACTCTATCATTTCACCCACAATTCAAATTGTACTAAATTTAGTACATAGTAGTACACATTTCCAAATCTTCCTACATACCCCAATCCTACACAGTGTTCCTAAATCAAAATTTCAGGATTGCAACTCTATCGGTTAACCCACAATTTAAATTGTACCAGATTTAGTACACATTTATAAAACTTCTTACATACCCCAACCCTACACCCCTACGGCGATCGTGACTCCAAATTTCATGATTCTAGCTTTATTGGTTTACTTAAAATCAAAATTGTACCAAATTTAGTACCGTTTAGTACTCATAAGTATTAATTTCTTAAACTGAATCCTGACCCCAATCCCACACCCCTACTATGATCCCGACTCCAAATTTCATTATTCCCGCTATAACCAAATCCAAACTGTACCGATTATAGTACTTTTCGTACACATAAGTAACAAATTTCCAAAACTACGTTCATATCCCAATCCTACACTCTGACGGTAATGTTAAATTCAAATTTCAGGATTCCAGCTGGATTTGTATATCCAAATGAAATTTGTACCAAATATAGTACCATATAGTACACGTGAGTAAAGAACCTGCATCTCAACCCTAATTCGCATTCCAAATTTCAAGTTTTTAGCTCTATCCATTCACATGGTACGAAATTGTACCAAATTTAGTACTTTTCGCATAC